TTGATGTGTGTATGGATTGGGATAACAGTTGTATGAGCCCCTAATAAAACGTTAAAAAAAACAAAAAAAAACAAACAATCCATACATACATCCATTGTGTAAAGCACATTTGTACATTCGTTGCCCTCATCATTCTCAAAACAGTTGCTCTCCACTTAAGCCCTTGGCATCAGCTCCTCATTTTCTCCCCTCCCTCCCCACTGCCCCCCTTCCTCGTGAATCCCGCGTATTTGATCGCTTGACCACTGCGTCCACGGGCATGAATCGTGGATCCAAGCAAGTCCTGGTCAGAAAGCTGCTCTCCGCTTTCAGCAAGCAGTCCTCTGCATATCGCAGGCTGTGCAGGAGTCTTCCTCTGATCCTGACACTGCATCCTCCTCCCTAGAGCCCCGCTTCTCGCGTCATTTGCTCAGCGTACAGGTTGGATAAATATGGTTAAAGGATACAACTGGGATGGACACCTTTCTGATTTTAAACAAATCCATGTCCGCGTGCTCTGTTCGAACAACTGTCTCTTGGGTCGTGTACAGCTTCCCCGTGAGCACAGTGAGGTGCCCCGGAACGCCCATTCTCCTGGGTGCTGTCTGTAGTTCGTTCTGATCCACACAGTGCACGGTCCGTGAAACACCGGCACGCATCTTTCTGGCATTCTCCGCTGTCAGGCAATGTCCCCCGACATCGCTCTTGATACCCCTCCTTCCACGCTGCCATTCGCTGCTCAAGTAGGCTCATTCGTCTTGGGTGCACTTTATTTATTTATTACTTTAGTTAGTTCGTTAGCTATTTGGGGTGTGTTTATTCATTTATTTCTGAGTGTACCATAAACTAGGGTCCACAACATAGAGGGACCCGGGGTCATATTTGACTGTGCATGCCTTCCCTCCTTTTGTCTGCCACTCTTACAGTGCCATCTTGTCTTTCTTTTCTCCTTTGTTGCTTCAGGGTGATTTGTGGTGGTGTTGGTGTGTGTGTGTGTGTGTGTGTGTGTGTATGAATGCTGTGTTTCTCAACTGCTCACTTAGACACTCTCTAGGCTTGTCCTAGTCACAGGCGGTCACTCATGGACAGAGGGGCTCACAGGT